CTGATTGAATAATCTGCTTGAAAACGGTAAGCACAAATACCATGGACATCATGTTCATTGTATTTTTATTAAAGAATAACTCAAGGATGTAGATAATATAGTACAGTGATATTATTGATATGACATGTATAGGCAAATATATTGTATTGTGTGGGACCCAATGATTCCCAGCCCTAATGCCTAATGTCCCAGCCCTAATCATACAAGTGCTAGTACTTTACCCAAATGTATGTACCGTATTGCTGCCTTGACATATCATTAATGACATCAGTCCAGTTCAGTCTCCACTCAAATGCGTGCAAACTCCTCTTAGCACTTTGCCTGCCAAAACTGAACTAGCCATTAATACCCCTGCAGGGCACAGAATTCCTTTCTAGCACAATGGGCAGCAAAATGATGCCAGGAGTTTGGTATTAGCTCTTAATGTCACACCTGAGCAAAATTTACAGTTTGCACGCTGCCCTCCAACCACCACTCCCTTTATTACCATTCACCATAGAGCAGTTCCTATTAGAAAAGACTTGCTCCTTCAGTGACCTCCCTCTTCTGTAGTGTGGGCCTCAACGTTGCTGGTGACTTAACCCCTGTTGCCTGTAAAACAAGAGTAAGAAAAACACCCTTCTTAAGATGACTATATTGGTGGCCTGGTTATCCGAAGAGCAAAGGCTTGGCTGGGACTTCTTACAACCTCACGGGGCCAGCATGTATTAGTGGTTACCGTAAAGTTTTTCAATTTGTGCAGCACCACGTCTCGTCGGACCCTCCTCCCTGTGTCGTACTCCTGGCTTTTCCTCGCATGTAGCAAGGGGGAACTCCATGTAAAATGTAGATTATTTATTATATGAGGGCTTGAACGCCACAGCGCCCTGGCATGGACTTTAATGGAGGTGAGACACTCCCTTGTCGCTTCATACTCCCCTCAGTAAAGTTTTATGACGTCCCACCGCACTCTGGAGAGGCCAGGGAAAGTGACGCCATGGCCTAGGAAAATACTGGGCCGCGCTCATGCCAGGATTAATGCGGGTGCGCATGGGGCATTGGGCTGTGGGTATGTCCTTAATGCACTGGTTTAGCTAAAGTGCCATATTGTGAGGCTAATGTCGCACATGGGAGCACCAACAGATGTGGGTAAAATTGGAATAGAATGGCATTGGCAATGTCATTTGCAATGTCTGACAAGCTTTTTTGGCAATAATTATTCAATTTATTGTTAAACTTGAGAGCTGCCAGTTATCTGTACTGAAGCTCAAGCAGTTGACTGAAGTTTTGAATTCGTAGGGTCAATTCAGCCACAATAACTCTATGTACTGTATGTGGTGTAAGAGCTGGAAGATGTAATTGGAGGCTCAATATTAAGTAAATACCTCTGATGTACCAAAAAATAATATATGTGAGATTATCCAGCATATAGTTGTTTTGTCATTCTAATTCTATTTCTAGTCTATTGCAATAATTATATGAAGCAAAATATTGTCGTTCAAAATGTCTATCTAACAACAGAAACAAATTTCCTTTTAAAAGGCAAATGCAATTTAGCAGCAACTCAATGGGCAAAATGTGTAATGCAACAAAGATGTCTTGTCAGTGCTTGGGTGGATTGCGTCAGCATTGCAACATCTTTCTGTGTAATTTTCAATGCCAATACAACTGTCAGCATAAGACATTTCTATTCTCTTCATGTCAATCATTCTGATATATGTGATTACAGTTTACAGAAGACATGTGAGGTATTGTCTGGTGACGATCAGAGTCTTGTAAAAGTAAAATGTTGTGATATAATCAGACCACAACATACTGTCTTTATATAGAAAACATTTTTATCTTTTGCATACTTGTAAGAAAGAGCCCTGTGATTCACTAATTGACATTTGGAGTTGACAGCTGATTGGCTGAGTGAGGGTGACGCATGTGAAAATATGTGATAGAAGCAAACTTTTGAGATATCGATTTCATTACATTCTTTAGTTGCATATTTTCTGTGTTGAAAGTTAGGTGCTTCAGCTTTAAAACAGAAAGAGAGAAAAGTAAATGTGTTTGAATGAACTGAGTTGACACAGCTCATCCTCCTTGTTACAGAGTTCAGTTGTTTTATCCCCGTCATTGCAGTAGCCACTTGCATCTGTCAGGCCTCAGCACCACTGCAGCTAATGCACAAAACGTTATCTTGCTAAGAATAGGCCAACCCACTGTCCAAAAACCCACCCACCTCTACACCCCCCCCCCCCCCCCCCCTCTTCTCATATGGCCTTGATGAGAACCAGACCTGGTGTAGGAGCATATTAAGTGGCCCAACAGTGTCAGCGGGAGAGCTAAATGCAAGGTAGTGAAATCTTTTGAACCTCTGCTACATTATAACAGTTTTAAACACATGCAGCTGGGTCTAAAGTTCAGGGAAGACATAAAAGCACTGTTGCACGTTACCTTTGGTGGATGATAATAGCCGCGTGCCACTAAAACTACTAAGACCGTCCACAATCAAAGGAGCCCATAGGAAAGGACTCCCCACACTTCTTACTGCCTGCTAATAGGCTCTGAGTGTGTGTCAGAGGAGGCACATCTTGTTAGAGGGCCTACAACAAACATGATTGTAAATACAGGGGACTTGCCGGTGTTGTGTGATTAAACTTCATCAACTGCAGGTTAATGAAACTACAAAAGATTCAGAGGAGCAGTAATTACAAGAGCAGCAGTCTGGACGTTCACGCTCACAGCTATCACAAATGTGTAGCTGTACTTGAGGCCTCAGGCGCCTTCATCTCCAAAATATGCAGTTCTTTTGCCATCAAGTGTCATTTGTGTTATATTTATTGCAAGGAGAAGAACTGCAAAAAAAGAGAAATATTAGGACTGAAAGCAGCATGAAATAGTTACATGTCTTAAACAGCCGAACATTCATCATTCAACGGTGCTGCCTCTACTCAACCATCAACTCATCATGTCAAACTTTATCGCAGCCAATAAGGACATGTCAACCCTCATTTTAAACTACAATTTATGTTGTGATACAGTCTGAGCATCTATTATTGCTGCCTTAAAAGTTAACAAAAGAATATGCCAGCACTAGCCCAAAGGGTCCCATAAACACATTCACAAAGTCATTCCGCCAACACCAGCTCTGCTAACACATACACGCCAATATTAAGCAGTCATTATTCCGGTGACCTCCGCACTGCCAGATATAAATCAATATATTCATGTCATACCTTATTTTAAAGCTCTCAGCAGCCCCAATTCAATCAATATACCTGTTTTAACAACACTCAAAACAGCCCTGGGTTGGTATTGGTTTGAATAAAAATAAAATAAAAACTGGACTGTAATGTTTAGGGTCCATTACATGACCAAAATCTTATTGTATTCTGAAAATATGCACAAATGGTTTGTTGATATACTGTAATATCATTTTATAGATGGAACGTGGTGCTTCTTTCTTTTTTTCTTACTTATGCCGGTCAGTTTGAATCTGTAAGTCCCCAATGCCTTTTCCACCTATCATCAAGGTATTTTCCTCTTTCTTGTTCTTCATACAACCATTTTCCGCATTAGGTCGGATTAAACCAGCCAGCCATGTAGAAAAGGCATATCATATGGCGCTTGCAATGTTTGGATGTTGAGTTGTGCCAGTCCTCATTGATATACGCACTTTTACAAGGGTTAGGTTCACACATCGACAATATTGCTGATGGTGTCTGAATTCTGGGCTGGTTACAGTCGAGTGTGTGTGTTCCTTGAGCTATGTGGATTTCTCTGTGGCGACCTAACCACACTCGATAAATATGAGTTTGTGGCTGGACCGTGCTGCCTCAGGAATGCTCACATGTGGTGGAGTAGCTCTCACCACCATTGACTTACATGGCTTTTGGACATTGAGGTTTCTATGAGGAGACCGGCAATGTGAAGGCCGTTTGACGTTACCCCTGAAATCCAAGCTTAGCAATGCCAGTTTCCTCTCCGGATCAAGTCAACTAAAGCGTGTTATTTGTTTATTTTCAGGTCTGACCCCAGCAACCATCACCATGTTGTTTACTGACAAAAAAATGCTCTAAATTATGGTTTTCCCATGTTGGAAACAAACAAAAAAATGACAAAAACATTTCCCAGATGAAATTGCTCTGCTAAGAAGTTCATTCTGTATTTATTTATCCAGGGTTTAAATGCTCTCACGGCCTTCAAGACGACAAAGTTATGGACAGACATAACTATTTGACTCCAAGTGTTGATTTTGGGCAAAAAATGGACCAGTTCAGGAATCTCCGCTTGAATCCAAACCAAATATGAAGAACGATAAGAGTGGTCTTAAGTGTAGGCATTCATCAATAAGACGTCTAGACCAGAATTAGCAATTGTAAGTATCCCAGTGGAGACATAATGCCCACTAGATATCAGCAAACACTTTTGTTTCTGCTCCGAATACAAACTCCCCACCCAAACCATAAGAGGACAAAACATTAACTACTAAAGCAGCCAAGCAGCACTAAAACGTAACGAAAGAATACATCAATAAATAATAAAAACCAGTCAAGAGTCAAAATGAGGTTTGTTCCCTAAATAACATTTTAAAGCCTGCTCATTAAGCAGAAGCGGGCAAAATACACCAGCAGAAAGTAGCAAATTGCTCCACAAGCAGCAAAAAAAAATTATCCAGAGAAAGTCAGTTCTGGTGTGGTCAAGCCATTAAACACTATTTCTGAAAAGCATCACGAGTTTGAGGAAAGAAGTCATTATAAATCACAGTATTATGAATCGCCTCCGACATCCGTCATCAGAGACCAATCTGTTGTCTCCCATAACTGGCTGGACAAGGGTCATTGGCCTAAGGCCCTGTGGAGACTCTATCCCTCCACAGGACAGATGCAGTGGCATAAGCGGGGCCCGGATGCCCCCCTCTCACTGCTGACCCCCTTCTCTCCTGCAGACTCTGAGAAAGGGTCTTGAGGTTGAGAAGGTCTTGGGGACTGGACACATTGCAGCATTAATTACACACTGAGTTACCATTGAGCCTAATGTCTGGCCTCCCCCATCGGGTTAACTCCTTCCTGACAGCAGAGAAAGTAATGGGGCCTCCGTGGCTCGTTGCTCTCAGACAGGTCCCGGTGCTGTGCTGACTGACAGCCGCTAAACGCTTCAGGCCCTTGGAGCTGAAGATAATGGAGGTGTGAGGTGCGGTGCGGGGTACACTTCATCCCTTCAAAGGCCTTCTCTGACATGGCCTTGTGCAAACAAAGAGCTTTTTTAGGAGTGTTATCTGTCAGAGGCCGGCCCCATGACATCCTCACTGCACCTCCACTGGCACTTTACACATAAGACGAAGGAGAGAGACAGGATATCCCCCTGGTCAGTACTAAAGTAAACACAGAGTGAGGAGGAAGTCTAGCAATGGGACTACAATCATACTGTTAAAGCACTTCAGAGACCTTTTCCAACCCCTATACAGTAATAATGAGGGTACTTTCCATATTAGGTGTTGAGTCTATACCATAAGCTGCATGTACAATCTCTTGAGTGTCATGAATGCATTGTAGGAAAATAAAACATTGCTTTTGTTTCTTGTTCAACTAATGTTATCCACGCTTCCATCTTTTCAATTTCTGCTTAACCCTGGACCAGGCCTAAAAGGCAACAGTCCAGACAGTGATACTAACTGATCACCTGTTTGCATCCCTCACTTGAGATTTGTGACCCTGAGATACTTGAACTCTTCCCCTTGGGTGTAAGTACTCCCCATCAACCTATGGGTTCAAGTAAATGTTACCTGTCTAAAACGATGGCATTTGGCCAGCACTTTTGGATGCTGATTCCTTTTATATAATCCTTATTGCATCCGCTATTTAGTGATAATGACAGCTGGTGAATGCAATGACCATTCCTGCACACCACTTTTACAACTTGTTTTACTGCACCAACTGTGCAGTGGCGGTTTTACACTGCATCTCCCTGCCCACAGTAATACAGGATCAGGTATTGTGTCATCTGCAATCCACGGTGGGCTGCTACAAGCTTGCGGTAATGTATACAAAATTACTTCCCTTTTTCCCTCCTCCTGAAGACAGTATGTATAATCACAGAGTCGCGGCCTCTCACCTTTGCTGTGTTGACGGGGGCAGCATTGTGTAATCAGATAGCAGCGTCCGTACAGTATTGCCGCTCATGTTTCGTTTGATTAATTCATAGCCTACAGGATCAGAGAGATAGAAAAGGGTGCGCGGCATGAGATCATGACCCTGGAATTCCAAACAATAACCATCTGGGGCCAAGAAGCTCTCACTTTTTGCTTTGCACTTCCTTTCTCCTTGGTGTTTCCTCGGGCTGTTCTCGCTGATAGATAACAAGTTCAAACACACATCAACACACACCTGCAACGGCCGCTTTGCATGTAGAACCAACCAGCCATGTACTAAAATATGTCATGACATGAAGGAAATAGCAAACTTCTTAAGCCAACTATAATATTACCACTATGCGTGAGATTGCAGATCTGCTTGGAAAGGTTTTACTATAGTTGGATTTATTGAGGGGCGACAGTAGCTCAGTTGGTAGAGCATTGGTCTCTGGACCTAATGGTCGTGGGTTCGATCCCTAACCCACTACCCATGTCACCTGCTCCCACTGATGACTGCTGTCGTTGTGTCCTTGGGCAAGCCACTTAACCCCACTTTGCTTGAAGTCCCTGCTGAAAGATCAAGGCTGCAGCTGCGTTGAAGGAGCAGCCATCTTCCTGTGGACCCACCACCTGCAGAAGGATTAGCAAGGGACTGGTGCTTTGTGAATTGGGTGGCAACCCTGACCCAGAAATGGATAATAAAGGGGTGAAAATGAATGAATGGATTTATTGACGACTAGTATGATTACTTTTTGATGGATGTTTTCATAGGTAACTTTATGTCAACTTGTATTTGTAGTAGTAATATCCAGCAAAGGACCACATCTTTTCACTCAAATTCAAGGAAGTAAAGGGTTTTCTTTCTGTCAGGGAATCAAAAATGTTCACACTTACTTATTCATTATCATTTTGGAAACAGTGGTTTACCCTCTAAGCACCCAGTGTTGAAGCAAATAAAATAATCCATGGCAAGGATTCATGAATCTAATGTAATGCACTGGGAATGTGTTTCTCTGCATTACATGCTAAAATGTGAGGTTTTATAAAAGAAGGATGGTCCGAATTAACCGTTTTTCTCCAAGTCTCCAAATGTCAGATCTTATCCTGCGTCTCTTTGGTTGTTGAGATGAAGTGACTTGGTTTATTCTCTTTCAGCTGGTTGCCGCAGGGCCGGGGATGATAGATGAAGTGTTACTTTGTGGGCTATTTTTAACTTCTCCAAAGTAATGTTTCAGTCAGACACCGCATCTGGAACAGGCTTAAGGGCTAAAGCAGCATGGGCTCAAGACTTTGCCATTTGAGACTGCACAAGTTAGCATAAAACAAATGTTATAGTTGTTTATGTGCCATGACACGACCAAAAGAGCCTTGTTAATGCTTTCAGGGGATGATGAGTAACTCTTTAAATGAGCCTGGGCAAACTTGAGTTACATTAAATGGCTTTCTCTGTTTAAGACATTGCTCTGACCAGGCTATCACTTGTTATTATTGTCCCACACATTGAGTTTATTTCCAGGAAACCACTACAAATGTGCAACAGGTATGGTTTGGATTTGCAGCTTTGAATGGAAAGCATCTGGCTGTCGTGAATGATCCTTGTTTGTTGACTATAGCCTTGGACCTTCGCTGGTAAACCCCTTTCTTTCCCCAAATCTTGGCTAAATAATTCATCTCCCGTAAGAAGACAGGAATAAAAAAGCATGCTACTACAGCGACAACTCTTCTTTTATTATGGGGCTCACTGTGGGACAAAGAGGCATGAACAAGTTGTAAGACAGTTCTAAACAGGCAAAAGGTCACATTTATAAAGAGCTTTTCTACCTTTCAAGGCACTTCACTTCAAGGAACCATTCACCCATTCACACAACCGAACAACAGTGTTACAAAGACACTGGTGGTGGTGTGTGTTTTGCCAAAGGACACACAGCAGCATTCAACGATGGGAGCTGGTTTCACACCTGCTCCCATCATTGTTGATCTAACTGCTTAATCAATGATGTGTTTATGTCAGGAGCAGGATTCGAACCGCCAACTTAAGCTACTGCCACCCAACAGGCCACAGATGTAAGGATTGTCTTCATGACCTTGTCCTAAGGTGGGAATATCCATTTATTTTATTTTTTTAAATCCCTTTCTGTCACATGCAAAAGTTACGGAATGCTTCAGGAATCTAAAAACATGTACAATGGTTCCCCTTTCTCAGGGGCCGGACTTCCCTGGAAAAGAGATTCTGAAATGTCAGCAAGACTATCCTGGTTAAAGAGAGATCAATACATTTAAAGCTAAACATTTTTGATTGCATCAAGTACATTGTCTGCGCCACAAAACAGTCATAGAAATGATGTGTTTCTGCACATCACTGCCATGATAAGTCATGGAAAACTCTTGCCAATGAACATTTTATTTAACAATTAGCAAAGTTTGTCATGAGAAACACTGAAGAACAACTGATGGTGAAATATGGTTTTGCAAACACTTTTCCTACTGTGTATGGCTGTTTGTTTGTGTGTCCTGTTAATGTTTTTATTGTTGTTTTGTTAGCGTTACAACACTATACAACACAAATCACCTGAGCAATACTGAGGAAACAATCCAAAATGTTGAATGCCATAAAATCATAGAATGCAATAGATACTTGGGCCTACATTTAATATGTTTAAACAATAAAAATATTGTTGCAATTGTTTTTCACATCAATCAACCATGGACCGAAAGTCAAAAAACAGCACTTGTCTCACAACCTCATTGGAAGGAGTCTCATGCGCCTTCAACAATTAACACATTTTAATTGCAATCGGTTGCTACGGTAAAATTCATTCAACTAGACTTTCTAATAAAATGCTGTTTCCTAGAAAAATGGGATACTGTGAATGATAACCTGTCCACCTCCGGGCCCTGCACCCCCTGAACTGGACGGGCTATGGGTGTGCCCGGATGAGGGCGGAGACCACACCCTGCCTAATAGACCAAACAGCCTCCAGTCAAGTGCAGATATGCCCAGAACAATGCAGCGGCCAGTCATGAAAAATGCCCTTGCGTCTGCAGCTGTAGCAGTGTGGCCCCATGCAGCTGTCTAATATCCCATTGTGTTACCAGCCTAACCACAGTGTCCACTAACAACTGTATATATAGCACATAATGAGTTTTCATCCGCAACACTCTCACTTTATATCACTATTTTAAACTTTATACAAGAAAAGGGTGTTCCCCAAATGTTACAATTGTCATGGGATTTTCATCCAGTAATATACTTTATATTTCTCCTCAAAGATTTGATTGTATTATTTCTCAATTGTTCACAAAATTACAACAAATACAGCTCTACCCCATGAGCTATGATTGGTTGATTAGTGAAGAGAAGACTGATTGAAGGATGGGGGGTCTACATTCCCATTACATGCCTTACATTTGCTGTCTTATTCCATGCACTTACATACAGTATACTATATGTTTTCATCTCAGTAGAAATTGTTTTGTGTGGTTACAAGAAAGAACAGGAGATTGCAAATGGTCCAAACCAGTGTATATATTATTTTGGTATATCGATTATATGAGGTATGTAAAAACTCATATTATGGGCTTGGGTTTACATGCATTCTGACCAGTTGATTTAAACTCTGGGCCATCGATTATTTTAGTTTCGAAAGCAGCAAGTGATAATGATTGGGATAACAGAAATGAGATTGTATTCAAGAACTACCGGCTTTAAAGCATAATATTAATAATTACCTCCTGTTCAAGTATTTGGCTTCATTGAAAATCCCCATGTAGACAGAGGGAACCTGTGTTGGTTTTCAATTCTGCTCAAAAATGTCTCCCCTGACAGTGGATAACATGGGATACAGAGCAGCTTAACCTGGTGTAGCATTTTGGAAATACGGTATATGGAAAATGTGCACTCCAAGCGTATTTGTTTTTGGATGTTTTATGGTCGCAGATGTGGGTCCTGCAGTGCCAGCGTCACTCCAGACTCCAGTGTCTCTGTGCTGTTTAACCACTAATTACAGCCTCGTCAGAAGTGAGACTAATTAGCACATAGCATAAAAAGAGAATACATTGAAGTGGCACCGTGTTTTATAGAAGCTTAAACAATTAGTATTTCACTTTAGATTCTCCAGAAATAAAGGTAAACTATCTTTCTTTACTTGATTATTGCAACTTCTGCAATTG